ATTGTGAAAATAAACTGATTTTCTGCTTCAAAACCAAAAGTACTTCAAAGAGTTAATCCATTTACACCCGGGGGTGCGGAAATTTTTTTTGGGGTGATTAGTGCATTCCAGGACATAAACGTACATTTCCAGCCAAAAGGGCAAGCTGAAATTGACCATTGGGTGCTAAATAAACTGACTTTCTGCTTCACAACCACTATTTACGTTCAAAGAGTTAAATCGGTTTATTTTTGGGGGGCTTATTAAATTAAAGAGTATGCAACAACCGCAGGGGAGGGGAGAGGAGGCAATTTTTCAGGAGCGAGCGACGGGGCAGCGAGGAAGGGGTGAGGCAGCATAGTCCAGCCAGAGGCCAGTGCCCCCGGGTCATCCAGCGGTCGTGCTCCCCCCGACAACCCTGCCGTCATCGATTGGTTGACTCGGTCGCTTCCTCTTCCCCAGGTCACCTTGACACCTCACCCAACGGTCGGTGGGTACGCAGACACAACCGTTATTGGCAGGGCCCCGGGGAGCAAGCCCACTGAAATCACGGTCCCACCTCCCCCTGCCCTTTGGTTTCCCTCCCAAAGCAAAAGTATCGCATGCTGGGGGGCTCACCCCACTGTAAAAGGGAAGAGCTAAAGAGGGGGGTGGGAAACGGGGGGAGACATCCGCCTTTTCACACCGGGCAAAAGTACTGGCGAGGAGAGGGCTCGAAACCGGTCTAGAAAGGCTGTCTCCGACCCCCACACGCACCGAGGGGGCAGTAGTGACGGGAGACCCTAATTGATGTGATGGGCTGATCGCACTTGGCACCCGTCTCAAGGGATTGTTCCGCATCATCAGGAAAGGGGTGCCACTTGCCAGCGAGCAAAACATCGGGGGGTTGCCCAGGATCAGCAGGGTCGCAGCAGTGGTCAGTGGAGGCAACGGCCAACGGAGTAAGCACCCGCACCACTGCAGCCTAACACCACGGCAGTAGTGTGCCACGGTGTGCACGGAGGAAGTAGCAAGTCATCCCAGTGAGGAGTTAGCGGTGGCAAAGTTACCTACTCGTAAGCGGTGTGGCAATTTATCGTCAAGCGCCCGAGGAAGTAAACCTAGCCGTATGTCGACTAAGTAGGCCAGAAAGTCAAGCGTGGCCAGGGGGCCCATGTTGTACTACAGCCGTTGCGTCAGCCCTGCCAGCTCGCCATTATTCGTTGGCCTGGGAAAACCGTGATAAAGATACGGCGGTTCTGCCTCCCCAGCCCCCGCCTCCATCAACCAGCTCCGTACTTTCTCCGTCACCCCGACGATCACAATACGCCCTCCATCAGCCCAGTCAAGGCTCCAACACCTCAGCTAGAGTGGCAGTTGTTCCGCTCGAATGGCCGTCTTCCGCTCGTCTCAGACATGCTCCAGTCTCCATGCTACTCCTCTTCACGGATTCCCGTCACAGCAGTCTTTCTTGTGAATCCGTTTCCAAGAGACAAGCAGTTTTGCGAGCACTCGCAACACGCCGAACGGTGCAGAAGCTGAACGTTCCTCCCTGTCCAACGTGAGCATGGTTCTAGCAAACCCATCCCTTTCCAAGTGTGGACCTCAGCACCTTGTCGAGAAATGATGGCTTGTGCCGAGCCGCGGTGGAGAGTGCCAAGCCGGCATTTCTACAAGCGGCCAAAAAGGCAGTGCCAGCCCTGCATTCACATGTAGAAGAGATGGTGGGCCAGTCTTTGAGCATGTCGGTCTCTGCCAAAGTGCACGGCAGCGCCGACGTGTGGGAGCTGTAACTACGGTCAGGGACAGTAACATGTCATTTACGGCCCACTGAGTGGAACGTGGGGCCGGCACAGCCTTGCACCAGCAACTTGGACAGGTCACATCGCGCTTTTGCCTCCACGTTTGCACGTCCTTTAAGGTCCAGCAAAGATGTCCGCCTCAGACCACCTCTCTCTTCTCGCCGTGTCCTCAGCCGCCACCTGCAAAACCCGTGCCAAGTCCCATTACCCGACCGGCATAACACATGTGCAGGGCGCAACGGTGTCACGCTGTCTGCACCTGGTATGCCTTGGCGAACGAAGTCACACAGGGGAGGAACTCTCTGAGTGTAATGAACAGAGAAATCGACAGATGGCTGTCTCCGCGCAAACTGAAAATCGGAACCATGTTGACCGACAAGGGAAAGAACATGGTGTCTGCTCTGACGTCAAGGAAGGTTGTGCCATGCGCCATGCATGGCTCACGTGTTCAATCTGGTTGTCAAGCGGTTCCTAAAATCCACCACCATCCCCACTGCAAAGACATCCTTAAAATGTCACGTAAACTTTGCATGCATTTCACCATTCCTACACCGCAAAGCACACCCTCCTTGAGCTGCAGCGGCAGAACGGAAATTCCACAGCATCGCCTGATCTGCGACGTTGCAACAAGGTGGAATTCAACCCTACATAAAATTAGTGTTAGACCGCCTTTACGAACAGCGAAAGGCCATCACCGATTTCCTGATGTGTTACAAGCGGATAAAGGTACTCCCCTGTGTAACTTAGATGTCAGCCATTGGCAGCTCATGCGTGACACCTGCCGCTTGCTCATGGCCCTTTGAGGAGGCCACGCTATTCGTGAGTCGGCAGGACTATGGGATGAACGACGTCATTCCTCTGTTGCACGTCCTGGAACAAATGCTGTTAACAATGGCTGGTCAGGGTGCGGTAGACGTGGCGCACAGATCTCAACGCACATGACCCCTGTGGGGGGCAGGACAGGAAGAAGAGGAGGAGGTTAAGGAGGACATTGGTGCTCAGGAATTATTGAGTGAAATGGGTGGTTTTTCCACTCAGACGGACAGGAGTGGAGGAGCATGGAGCATCTGGTAGAGGAGGAGGAGGAGACAGAGGACCCAGACGCACCGTGGCAGTATGCTGTGGAGATGGAGGCAGGGAGTCCCTCGCATTCCTCTTGGCACAAATGGCCCATAGCATGCTCGGTTGCTTGCGTAGCGACAGCCGAATAATAAACCATCAGACAGAGGGGATGACTTTTGGCTGTCCACCTTGTTGGACCCTCGCTAATACCGTTCAAAAAATGGTGGCCTTTTTCACACCTGCTGAGAGGGAGGCCAAAAAAAAGTACTATAAAAAACCACCTATGTAGTCAGTTGGTCTCTGCCTTTCTGTGCGCCAACGTCCATCCTCAGACACTGTGGGCCCTGTGCGCTCGCGTTCCGCTGCCATGGCAGCAGGGGAGGGGTGGGGTGGTAGGAGCAGTGGCAGCTCCACCAGCAGCGGCTGCCTCAGTCTGCAGTCGATGATGAGTAGCTTTCTTCAGCCAGCGCAGTGAGGAAACTACTAACCAGCCCAAGCGAGCAGCATCAGGTGGACCTGGAGCAGGACCTCAAACAGGCTTGGGCCTACTTGGACAGCACCCTGCCAACCGAGTAGACAATCCCCTTGACTACTGGGCAACGAAACTTGACCTTTGGCCCCAACTAGCTGAATTTGCCCTTGAAAGGCTGTCATGCCCGGGCCAGTAGCGTGGCATCGGAGCGCGTGTTTAGTGCGGCAGGAGGTATTGTAACTCCGCGAGCAGGACACGACTGTCCACCCAAAGTGTGGAGAGACTCACGTTTGTGAAAATGAATCAGGCGTGGATTAGTCTGGATTTCAAACCACCAGTTCCTGACACAACTGACTAAATCCGCCATGAATCATGCCCCAAACATGTATTAGGGACAAATGGAAGACCTCCACCTGATCCGTACATTTGTATATATATTTTATTGAGAGGCTGCTGGTCGGCCGACTCATGTTTTGCACATTTTTAATGACTTATACCTGCAGGCTGGGTCGGGCCCCTCATGAATTGGGGTTTTAAATTATTTATACTATCGAAGCTGGACGACTGTCACATGAATTTAAACTTTTTAATTATTTATAGTCGACCAGTTCCAGACCGATGGAATAGCAATTTTTTTAAATATTTATTTGACACGTGTTGTCCAACTCATCAATGAGGTGGACTGTTTATTTATTGGCCACGGTTTTGGCCCCCTCCCTGTTTCTTACATTGTTAACTTGTTGTATCGGTCACGGTTTGGCCACATGTTTTTGGTTGTCTTGTTAAGATTTTCTGTAATGTACACAGTTACGCTTGACTTGTCGACTTTCCACAATCTACTAAGGTATAGCATCGCATCAGTTTTTTTTTTTTTTTTTTTGTCTAAACCATTTCTTATAATGTCAATTTGTAGATACGCCGCTGTAATATCATGCACCTACTTTTTGTCACTGTGTAGACATCTATTTATAGGCCGATGTTTGGCCAGAAAGATATATTTAGTAATAACCTAGCCGTTCAAGCCGCTCACTGAACACCTCGGGAATTGCTTTGTATATCTGTCGCCTTAGAGGCCGCTGTCTGAACCAGTCTCATGAATTGCTTCTATATGTGTCGCTCTTTGAGGCCGCTGGCTGGACAGTGATGAATTGATTTGTAATATATGTACTTTTTTATTGTCCGCTGTCCGGACAGCTTCATGAATTACTTTTTGTATATAGCCTTCCAAACCACTCTCAGAATAAGTCATGATATTTCATGCTGTGTATAGCCTTATAGGCCAATGGTCAATCAAGTCATGATTGTTATAGTGTGTGTATAGGCTTATAGGCCGCTGTCTTTACAACTTTATAATTCCATGCAGTATATAGCCCTATCGGCCACTTTCTGGCATCCAGTTGCTGTAGCCCCCATCACCACACTGTGCCACGGGCCCCTGTACCGCCTTCTCATACTGCTGCCAGATCCATCCTCTGCCATGTGCGTCTTTTGTCGTCTGCTCACGCTGCTGGGTTCCAGTTTTAAACCTAGGCCTGTGTATGGCTTCCGACTACTGCTGCCATCCACCGCCACCTCTGCGCCATGTGCCTCTGTCGTCTGCTCACTCGCTGCTGACGGCTTCCGCTTTTTAAACTAGTCCTGTGTATGTCTTCCGAATACTGCTGCCTCCACCGCCACCCTTCGCGCCATGTGCCACTTTCGGGTCTCCTCACACTGCTGCCAGGTCCATACTGATTCATGGCCCCCTGTACCGGCTCCTCATGAACGTGGTTCAGCGGGTTTGCATCACTTAAACGGCAAATCGTTGACAAACGCTGGGACGTTCAGTGTTGTGCGCATTAAGCCAGACACCAAAGGGCAGCACAGACCTGTTTATTACTCGCTCAAGCATGGCTGAACAAAACCAGTCTCTACCACAAATTGGACCCAGACCTGCCCAGGGTCTCGTAACTAGATTGCACGGAGGAGTAGAGTCCGTTATCGGAATTAAATAGACAAAACGCCACACCAAAAAGAGTGGCCATTTCCAACACTTATTCCAGAAAGAGGAACAACCCGTTTCATATACGGACCCGTAGACGTTTCACGTCTGCCACATTCAGTCGATTTAAGACGCAAGCTCCACTTCCTGTGGTCTCTGACCGTCGATATACCTTTAAGTGTCAGCTTGAAGCTATATTCCCTCCGGAGCACTGACACTGGTGCCCTTCCGTCAACATGCCTATAAGTTTCAGTTTTCAACCATATTCCCCACAGAAGCCAAACTCTTGTTGTTATACCCAGAAGCTGCTCAGCGGGTCAGGGCAATAAAGCTCCCGGTTTCGCAGGTTGTTCCGTCTTATGGATGGAAGTACGACGGTATATGATCTTCTTCGCACCCACGGCATACACCTCATAGAATCTCTGCATTGCATCTGCAATCACAACGCTGACTTCCCGGATCGCCACTCAGCCATTGGACTCTTGATAGTCGTCTCCCCACACTGCTGCTGGGGGGACTTTTTAACCTAGGCCTGTGTATGGCCTTCAATTGAAGCTGCTTCCGCTCCGCCACTCTGCCATTGGACTCTTGATAGTCGTCTCCCCACGCTGCTGCTGGGGGGACTTTTTAACATAGGCCTCTGTATGGCCTTTAATTATCATAGCTGCTTACGCTTCGCCACTCTGCCATGGGCCCCTGTACCGCCTCCTCTTGCTGCTGCCAGTTCCAGAGTGTGTCATGGGTCCCTGTTACGGCCTCCCATTGCTGCTGACTTCATCGCCAGACTCTGCCATGTGCCACTTTCAGGTCTCCTTACACTGTTGTGGGTTCCATTTTGTGTGATAGGTGCTGTATGGCCTTCCATTGCTGCTGCCTCCACCGCCACCCTGCAGCCATGTGCCTCTGTTCCAGTCTGCCACGCTGCCCCCCCCCCCGACCTTCCGCTTTTTTACGCTAGCCTGTGTATGGCTTCACGAACTTGCCTGCACTGCTCCCCTTTTACAACCCTCCACCAGGCCACCTCCACTCGCCCCATGTTGCCTTCCATTTCGTCTGCTATCATCGCTTATCTCTAGCCATTTCAACCCGCCACTATTCAGCTAAAAAAATCACCATGGGGGGGGGGGGGGGGGGGGGTTGGGGGATCAGACATGATTGGGTGGGCCCCATGCCTACACCGCCACCTGCGCCATGGTGCCTCTGACGTCTGCTCCGGCTGAACCGGCTTATCCGTTTGACGAACCCTAGGGGGCCTGACCCCGCAGGTTAAGCCATGGACAGCTGCAAGGCCGCCCCCACACTGTCGCCAATGTTCCCTGTCTCTGCCTCACGCTGACTGCCCCCACTCTAGCATCAGGCTCCATACTGAACCCATGGCCCCCTTGTACGCCACCAAAGTAGACCGTTGGGTCCGTAGTGGGGGACATAACGTGAGTTATTCCCCCCTGTCCGGAACCTCAGCGGGTATTGACATCACTTAAACGGGCAAAAATCCCGTTGACAAACGCTGGGACGTTCATGTTGTGCGCATTAAGCCAGACACCAAAGGGCAGCACAGACCTGTTATTACTTACTCGCTCAAGCATGGCTGAACAAAACCAGTCTCTACCACACAAATTGGACCCAGACCCTGCCCAGGGTCTCGTAAGTAGATTGCACGGAGGAGTAGAGTTCGTTATTGGAATTAACTGTGAGGGACTTTTAAACCTAGGCCTGTGTATGGCCTTCAATTGAAGCTGCTTCTGCTCCGCCACTCTGCCATTGGACTCTTGATAGTCGTCTCCCCACGCTGCTGCTGGGGGGACTTTTTAACATAGGCCTCTGTATGGCCTTCAATTTTAGCTGCTTACGCTCCGCCACTCTGCCATGGGCCCCTGTACCCCGCCTCCTCATGCTGCTGCCAGGTCCAGAGTGTGTCATGGGTCCCTGTACGGCCTCCCATTGCTGCTGTCTCCATCGCCACACTCTGCCATGTGCCACTTTCAGGTCTCCTCACACTGCTGGTGGGTTCCATTTTGTCATAGGGTGCTGTATGGCCTCCCATTGCTGCTGCCGATCCACCGCCACACTGTGGCTCCACACTCTGGTTTTGGCCCCGTGACTGCCCAAATGAGTGAAGTGTGCGGTGATTCTAAGATCGACGGCACTCATCTGCATGTCATACTGACTGACAGTATTATTTCTCTTCCCCAGCAGACTCCAAGGGCATTTTAAATTTAAAGGTACAGTGTTCTGCACTAATATAAAGGTGACTCTCTGAAGCCTAGAAACACCCTTTTTATAAGTTAAATTCGCAGCGAATATATTCGGCTCGAAGCGAATTTATTCGGCGAATCAGCCGAACCGAATTTTTGAATAATTCGCTCTCATCTCTAGTTCCAACCCTTCCTCACTCTTAAAATAAGCAAAAATGGTTTTGGCTGGAGATAGATATATTTTTATTTATTTTTTTACATAACTGAGTAGTTGCAAGGTATGGAGTAGACACTACACAGTCCTGTATAATAGCTGCTTAAAATTTATGGTGCCTGTTTACCTTGCTTTATACATAGTTTCAGTTTGACTGTCGTATATCTGGTTTCATGTAAAGGCAAAATCTGGCTCCTGGTGTATATTTCTTCAATGCATAATGGAAGTGGAGCATGTCTATTTGTTATATATGATCTTCAAGAATAGCAGTGTGCCTTAAATGAAATATAAATGGTAAGGCTGGACATACGTTATATAGTCTTTTTGCACAATTTTCCTTTTAGAAACCATATATAATGAGGTCAAACCTAAGCGCTTTCAATTTGTGTGCAATCAGGCAGGCCCATGCCCTACATAATTGAAGGTAAATGGAAATTGAAAAAGAAAATTGTATAATGTATGGCCAGCTAAAGACTTTCACCAATGTGTCAGTCTTTTGCAGTTGGCGTTCCCAATTATTTGTTATGAAAATTTGTTGGTAGTGTAATTCAACATAGAAGGTGCAGTAACGTGAGTGCTTGAATGTCTGGTAGTGATTCTAACTGTTTTCTGCAACGACACAAGACTGAAATAAATATTGGTAGGAGCGGATAGTTGGTTATTATGGGCCAAGTGACCTTTATGTACAAACAAGATGTCACCACTACTTTTACTAAGTAATATCTGGATTTTCAAAGGAATTTGGTGCACAAAAAGGTGATTGTCGTTTTTTGCTATTGTTACCATTAGAGGATCTTCACCCTAGAAAGCAAAAATTAAGTCAGCAGCTGCAAATACTGTAGCTGCTGACTTTTAATAAAAGGACCACACTTCTAGTAAACAACTTATGTCCCCGTCTGCGCTACGGGAGATTATGACAGATGTTTATGCGCGGACTGTGTTCCGTATCCGTATATGACTTGTTGTGCCTTTCTTATTTCAAAATAAAATAAACCTTTTTTGGGAAAAAAAAAAAAAAAGGACACTTGTCTGTCCAGGGATTCGGTGCTGTCCTCACCAGGGCCAGCTTTTCGCTGATCTTTGGGTCCCAGCACCAACTTGTTTTACTGAGGATATCCGACCGTGACTCCTTGTGGCTTCACAGCCAGCGTCCCACTGCACATACACGAGCTGTGCTTTGTGCATGATCGTGCAGTCTTCTGTGACATGTCCCAGAAGGCTGCGGTCAAAGGGAGGGGCAAACTATCAAAACTAGCTACTGGCTCCCCCAGAAAAAAATATTGCGTGGTACTGGAAGGAGAACATAAAGCGAAACTTCCTCTTTTACCCTAGGTTCACACTTATGCGGATTTATGCGTGTTTTCCAATTTGCAGAAATGCACCACAGTCCACTTAACATGATTTCCTATGGATCTAGCTCAAATCATTATGAGCCGGTGCAGATTTTTGAAAGAGTCAGTGAATTTTTTGCTCACAGCTGATTGCGTTTTGTAATAGATTTCAATGTACCTCATCACAAAAGCATGTACATGCATTTTTGGTGTGTTTTTCTGCATGACAACAGGCACCTCCCCCTAGCAACATAAAGCACATCCCAAAAGAACCTGTGAAAAGCATGTGTGAAAAAAAATGCAGAATGTATTGGGAAAATGCATAAACCGCAACCTGCCTGGAGTTTGCATGTTCTCCTTGTGCCTGTGTGGGTTTCCTCCGGGTACTCCGCTTTCCTCCCACACCCCAAAGACATGCTGGTAGGTTAATTGGATCCTGTCTAAATTGGCCGTAGTATGTGTATGTATGAATGTAAGTTAGGGACCTTAGATTGTACGCCCCTTGAGGGTTAGGGACTGATATGAATGTACAATATATATGTAAAGTGCTGCGTAAATTGACAGTGCTATATAAGTACCTGAAGTAAACCTGCATAAGTTTGAACCTAGCCTAACGGCTAGTTCACACCAGATGCAGTCCAGTGCTTTTTTTTTTTTTTCTTTTTTTTTTTTTTTCCCCCTGCATCAAAATTGCATACACTATGTTTTCCATGTATTTCAATGGCCCTAGTTCACACCAGTGCAGTCCGTTCCAGTGTATTCTGGTGTACAAAAAAAATAGAAAATGCAGCATTTTTTTTTTTTCTGCACAGAACTCTACTGGAACACAGCAAAATGAATACAAAATGTACTGGAATGGAGTGTGGTGTGAACTGTGAGCAAAATGCATCCAGAAGGCAATTTTGTGGTGTGAACTAGTCCTTAGAGTGAAGTTCTGCTCTTAAGGAATATATTTATATTAAACAATTGTTCCTAACCAAATATTAAGTTGATTTGTCAGTTTTAGAAAGCTAGGACTGGCTGGGGTTTGAAATGGAAATGTAACTTTAATAATCATACATTACAGAGTTGAATGTTTTGTGTAGCAGTCCTGGACAAATCCCTGCAGAACTTAGAAGCAAGCTCTAAATGTTAGGGCCCAGCAACAGTATATATGTTATGTTTGGAAACTGGGTCCAACAAGTTGTCAAATCCTAAAACCGTCTGTTCTGCTGTATTACTTGCTGAAGAGGATCTTAGCTAGAAATATGTTGTCATTATGGAACTAAATTTAAAACCTAGCAGCTACATCTGGCAAGCATGAAACGTTGAGAGAACATTGTTGTATAAAGAACTGCAAATGTATACAGCAGCTACATGATTACAGGCCAAATGATATTTAAAATGATGTAATACCCCAGAGTTTATGGGGCTTTGTGACCTTATAAAAGAACTTATTTCTTTTGTGTAAAATTTATTTTATGCTCATGACAAAAAAAGCATTTTTTTTTATCTTCTAACCATTTTGGTTGTTTTTTAACAACAGGGTTAGGTTAAGAAGACCATGGCAAAATCTTAGCAAAAAGTCTAATATTTAACTTGCTGATTTAAAGTGTTACTAAACCCAGGACCCTGCATTTACTATATCTGGTCTCCCACAGTACACAGAACATGGAAATGCCAATATTGTAGTAAATATAAACTGCTCAATACCTTTTCTCATCAGCAGTCTTGTGACTTCTATCAGTGTCCAGCAGAGCATTGGTTAAAGCTTGTCGGAGGAGTTTTCATTCTGCACCAGGAGGATGCAGAACCCCCCTGACCTCTGTCTTGACAGTCTGATTGTCCCTGTGCTGATCACATGCACTCTCTAGCAATAGACAACAA